ATATTAGCATTAAAAGCTGGTTCAGTGCAGACTATTTTTTTTTTTTTTTGTCTTTGTCAAAATCCTGACTGGAATATTCGATTGTAACTGGGCTGGATTTACGCAACAAATCTTCATTCCCAAGTTAGTGCCGACAGTACATCCATTTTTTTTGGGTAATGTCGAGTTATTACAAGAATCTGCTTTGAACCCATATGACCCATATGCTGTGTTGACTGATTGGAGACCAGAAACAACCCGTATTTGCACATGTCCCAAAAGCAGTAAAAGCGTTACACGTTGGACGGCGCAGACACAGGCAACATTGAACAGCAAAAATTACGTAAACAAAACAAACGTGATGACATGGCGTTCAGTTTGGTCTGGAATGACCGTTCCCTGTGACTACACTGGCTGACATTTTGTTTTGAGTTCGTGTGTGTGTGTGTGTGTGTGTGTGTGTGTGTGTGTGTGTGTGTGTGTGTGTGTGTGTGTGTGTGTGTGCGTGTGTATGTGCGTGTGAGAGATCATCATTCTCATTTGTTTTACTCTGCTTTGATGCTGATCCAAAGCGTGTTCCACCCCCCCCCCCAAAAAAAAATCCATGCATTGTTAGGCTATGTACACTTTTTACATGTCCAGTGTGAATCCCATCTCTTGTCAAAAGTCAGCTCGAATAAACTTGAGTTACTTGTAACTGTTAGAAAGGAGATCTTTGATGGCCAACTGGCAATGTAGGGAAAATGATAAACCCTATGCCCAATGAATAGTACAGGTCCAGTGTGTAGCTTTAAGTTGTAATATCACCCTTCACCACCAGATGGCAGACACCGCTTGGTTGCACCTGGTTTTACACTACCCTATACTACCACGTGAGTTGGTCTAATGTTTTTTTGGCGAATTTGGAATGACATACAGCATAATACCTGAATATTATTACAATTTTGAGTGTGTTGATTTGTGTGTAAAAATGCACAAAACTTTTGTTCTTGCACTGAATGTTGGTTTGCTGTTCAGCAGTTTTGTGCCAGTGCTTTTATGCAAGTGAGCCCTGTGTAGAAGAGCAAGATGATGTGCTCTAATCTCACTTTGTTTTCTGTCAAGTGTGTATGATTGTCAGTTTATCAACATGACACCACATGCTCGGAGTAAAGATTCTGGATTGTGTCTTTTGTCGTATTCAAAAGTACTCCTAAAGCATCAAATATCACTAATGATGATTTAAAACAATATGGTTTGAGTCCAAGTCGAGACCACTATCTTCTTTCTATATGTGTTATAAAGTCCACATTGTAAAAAACTCACTTTACTGTAGGTATGCAATCACTTTTTAATTTGACAAAGCACAAAGTCAGAGTATTTGGACTTGGTTTTACCAAGATACTGATTCTCAGATTAACATCACCACGGAAACACGTCACGGACGACCTCGTCAGAGGCACAAAGAACATTCTTTTCAAAAATAATTGTTTACATGTAGGGCTACCTTGAATTTTAACCACTCCAAAAAGTTGAACAATTTGGTGTGGGATCAAAATTGAATGATTAGTAATCATATGTGACGTCATCGTATGAGTCATCAGTGCATCTGGTTTGTGGATTCCATTGTTGTGAGCTGATGTCAGCTGCACCTTTTATCTTCAATGAAGATCTTGCTTTTGGCAACACTTTTTCTGAAAGGGCAATGGTGGTAACTGAACATGAATATCCACCTGAAAGTTACCATTTGGCCACTGTTTCGCGCTTTCACTGCTTTTATTTTGGTAGGTTGGCTTGATAGGACTCCGAAACAATATTGGGCAGATTTAGATTTTTATTTGATTTTGATCTTGATTTTCGGTGACTGGTGATTTACATTTGAGTCACATTTTGCGATGTCGGCAAGGAGGAACACTGAATGAAATGGAGACTGCTACGTTAGCTTCTTTTGTTAGCTACTAGCTAGTGAGCTTTTGAGTGGTGACTGTAACTGCCATTTGCTTGTCACTTGTGATAATCATGTGATCAGAAGCTGTTTTCAAGATTGTTGTGTTGTTTTTTTTCACAGATTGATACGAATTTAGACTGACTGGTTAACTTCTGCTCCTTTTTGTATGTGACCTAATACGGTTTTATGAACAAGTCAACCAAATCAAAGTTTAACCAGTATTCCGGTGCTCATTGTGGTCAACCTTTATCATGGTGCAGTCAAATCTAAGTAAAAAAATCCTTTACATGATCAAATTGAGGATCCTGATGTGTTTTTGACAAGCATGATAAAAATCGTCACGTATAAGTTGGATCAAAGCAGATCAAATTTATCACAGTAATTAAGAACGTAAGCATACCTTTTTCCTCAAGGAGAGACTGTTTTCCCTTTATGATCTCAGACGAGTCATCACATTTTAGAAATGAGCTAAAACCTATTTTATGTACATACCTTTTTTTTTTTTTCCCCTTTTTGCTGACCGCACGCAGCTTAAGCCAACACAGTGTATCATTGCATTTTGGTTCACAGCCATAAACTTGTTCATTTCCTCTTTTCTCTCTCCACTAAATGCTAGTTAGGCACCACCTTTATCAAATGCTGTGCCCTTTTGTAAACTCTGCATTCTTTATACCAGAAGTCATGTTGACAGCACAGGGGTATTAGGTCCAAATGGTCCGGAGGCACTTTGCATGCCACTGTGAAAAAGAAAAAACTGCCAGGCAAATACGAGGTTTGACTTATAAAGTATTCATTGTCACCTGGTAACGGCCGCCCTTTATCGTTTCACCTGAAATTACAACAAAAACTGATATCTTATCAGAGGGAAGCACGGAGAGAAGAATGAGTCTTATATGACGTGGGAACTCTATTTGCGTGAGAGATGAAACTCATTTGCTTTAAGCTAAAAAGCCATAACTATGTTTTTTTTCAGTTTTTTTTTTTTTTTTTGAAGACACATCTGGCATATAACACATGCATTTTTTTAATGTACTGTACCTCTTAGATTAGATAGATTAGATTAGATATCCTTTATTTGTCCCACACTGGGGCACTACTCTTAAAGTAGTAATAAGCCACCGTGCAAATAAGTAATGTGCATTTACGGATGGGTACTTAAAATATTAAATGCGCATTAAATTCAAGTGTGTCACTGTCCATTTGTGGACCAGGCATTTTTCATTTTCCTTTTTTGGGCGGGAGAGAAGTGGTTGGTGGGTTTTGATTAGCCTTGTGTCATTCGTGATCGACTCATTCAGATGAGCAACTCTTTTGAGTGGACGTATGGAATCACTTAATGAACTGATTTGTTCCTTTGCTTCTCAGTTTAGTTGAGCCCAGCCATGTGCTGAGGTGGATTTTGTCAGAATCTCGGCCTTGCCGCGTAGAGCCTGTGACGGTATATGTACCTGTATATAAATATTTTTTTATTTTTAATTTACTGTACATGTAACGGGTCCGTGGCGAAAATCAGATTAGAGACCACTATCATTGAGAAGTAGAACTCCCCAAATCTTCAAATTCCCCTCTTCCCTCCATCGTGCAAGAAATAAGAATGTTGCTAACCCGAGGACCACAGTCGGTGTTGGACTAGATATTTATTTCTTTCTTTATTTTTTTATGGTCGCATGTGTGGTCAAAAAAGTCACTAAATACAGCGTCAAAATCTCGAAGTTGGCAACACTGAAGACAAGGCGTTGCTCTTGGTCACTTGCACTACTGGCACACATGCACAACTGAAAAGAAAAGCAGCACATACTCAATATTTAATTTTTACTTTATTAAGACTGCGATGGCCGTACAGAGACTGCGGACAGGCCGGACGGATGTGGTCGTGGGTGTGGAAAAAATTGAGCAACAAACTTCCATCCATCCATTTTCTAATCTGCTTATCCTCACAAGGGTCACGGGCGCTCTGGAGATTACCCCAGCTGTCTTTGGGCAGTAGGCAGGGGACACCCTGAACTGGTTGCCAGCCAATCGCGGGGCACACATAGACAAACAAACATTCACGCACCCAATTACACCGAGATACCATCTAGAATGTTCCGTTAACCTGCCACGCATGCTTTCGGAATGTGGGAAGAAACAGAAGCCGGAATCGAACCCACCACCTTGGCACTGTGAGGCAGAGGTGCTAACTAGTCGACCTCCGAAGCTTGAATACACGTTATTTACAATGTCATTTTGTACGAGACAAAAAGAATAGAGTGTTAAAGAATAAAGTGTTCAACTGCAAAGATGAATAGACCGAAGCAGTTTAAAGAGTAGTTGAGTGTGGGTAGTTGATCAAATATTTGGGTAGTTGATCAAATACTGTCATCGGGTGGGAGACTCTGAACTGATTTCCAATCACTATGCACAAATAGACAACCAACCATTAACACACACACACACACACACACACACACACACACACACACACACACACACACACACACACACACACACAGAAAATTTTGTCAATTAACATACCACGCATTTTTTTAGGAATATGGGAGGAAACCGGATTACCGGGAGAAAACCCACGCATGAATGAGGTGAACGTGCAAACTCCAATACATGAAGGCCAGACCTCGCATTGAAAGCCACAACCTCTTCACAGTGAGGCAAACGGGCGTCGATAAATACAATCAAATGCTATAAAATAATTACTTCATTATCACAATGATTAATGAAGGTGACGTCACTTTTTTTTTCTGTGTGCTACAAATAAGAAATTGTTTTTGCTTCCTATCCATTTAGCATTTTAGCAAAGTAATATTTAATTTTGTATCCGTACTTTATATCCCGCATCTGCATAAAATACATCTTTCTCCCAAAAAGTAGGGGTGGGGGGGGGGGGGCCCCCCCTCCCCTAATTTGAATGGAGGCATAGGGGGGGGGGGGGGGGGGGGGGGGGGGCTCCCCCTCCCCTAATTTGAATGGAGGCAGTACAGGCTCCTCCCCGAGAGAGTTGAAAGGCTAGAAGAGCACAAAGATGGAAAAGGCCAGCCCACTGAGGGAGGGAGTTAAAAAAAAAAAAAAAAGCACAGGGGGCTCCTCTGCCATAATTTCCTATCAGCCTATTGAGACGACATCACCAGCAGCTTGCTCTGTGCGTGTGTGCATGGAGGCAAAGCAGAGGGCGAGACATAGGCAGACGCACCAGAGAGAGAGAGAGAGAGAGAGAGAGAGAGAGAGAGAGAGAGAGAGAGAGAGAGAGAGAGAGAGAGGAGGGGAAGGGGGAGGCTCCATCTTCTTTCACCTTCCTCCCCCAAGCCACGGAAAGGAGGGGCCAGTGCCGAAGCTGCCAATCAAATCTGCTTGTGGCAGCCGGCATGATCGCAGCAACAAACTATTGACAGATTACATGTCAAGGAGTTTAGCGCATGATTGAAGGAAGCCCCCTTTTTTTTTGTTGTTGTTGTTGTAGTCACTTTTCTGCTTCATCCGGCCCTCCAGCGAGCAACATTTGAATGACTTTCCACCAGAGTTCAGTAGTATTATGAAAGTTACATGTCTGAGAGGATTTAACTTCGACTTCCCTGAATATGGTGAGTACTCCTGTTCTTTTCCCACTTTGCCAGCCAGGTATGTTTTTTTTTTTTTTTTTTTTTTAAATGCGGACAGTTAAGGTGTGCCTTTATCTCGCTCCCTCTCACACGCACACACCTACACACGTACACACACACTCAGGGGGGGAAGTTGTTCATGATTAAGCTATGTGCCAGCGAGGACGGCACACTGTATACAGTATACGTAAGTGTTGCAACACCCTTATTTATAGCACTTTTCAGAGTACCCAAAGGTGACTGCAATATCAAATCGGATCGCCTACCGTTCCGCTCAGTGTTGACACCGTCGAGCACACATGTGGCGAAAGTTCACAGGACCCGTTTCATTTTCCCTTGCCTGACACTTTCTTTCTTGTTTGTCAAATAAATTCCCATCTATTTGTGAGCAGGCCAGCATATTTTGACTGTTCAAATACAGGTGTTGGTTTTCTCCACAGAGGCACTGACAATGCCATTAGGATAGAATGAATGGCCTAAGGATTTGTTGCCAAGGGGACAAAGCAAACAAACTGTTTTGTTGTCGCACATGTAAATGGTGCAGGCCGGTCACTCTGACCACCTTTTCAGGTATTTCTCAGCAGTGTAACCGTACGTGCTCTGCGATGATATTACACCTAAGTGGCGAGATCAAATTAAAACACTGTTATACACTTGGTTTCAAGTGAATGGCATCATGGGCGAAATTTTGCTTCTTGCTGCATCTGGGGATGAGCTTGTCCTGCTCTAATCTGACTGCAAGCGGCTCGGTGTCATTGTATTTATTTTTTTTCTTCAGGGAAGGGCTCGCTTTTATTTTAATAATTACTACAGCACAGTAACATTTAGTTCTTTCCTTTTCGTGTGTGTGTGTGTGTGTGTGTGTGTGTGTGTGTGTGTGTGTGTGTGTGTGTGTGTGTGTGTGTGTGTGTGTGTGTGTGTAAACTTCATACGGGTGGGCTTTCTCTTGATGTGATCTTAGTGTGTGTGAGTGCGTTTGTGTGTACGAGTAGTTGCTGTACAGTTTATTTAGTATAACTACACAATGTATCACCTTTTACAGAAGTTTCCATGTTATATTTTTTAAATGTTCTGTTATGAGAATATTTGCTGTGTTGCTGCGCAATCATAAATAACATTGTTTTACAAATATATTAAGATGCAGAATTATTTTTTGCCCTACATATTTTTCCCCCCCTAAACTGTAATTCACTCTCGTCAGCGTTTGCTTCAGGCTGTTATTTTTAATATGTCTGTGTGATATTTATGAAGTCCATCCATTTGCAGTTTTTTTTTTCTCTTTCCCTCATCGTTCAGAGTCTTATTGGCACTTGAGCTCGTCCCGATGGCGAAATTAAAGAGGTTCAGTTCACGTTACATTTAAGTAGACGATGTCCACGAGGGTAACGGGACCACAAACTCATGCGAGTTAGGCTTGCGGGCTTGCCTGTCATGTGTGGTCACTGTCGGTGAGCGCTGTGCACTTTTAGTCAAGAATAACAAGAGTCGAGTGAGACTCTTATCGCGACACACCCTAAATTTAAACTTTTCGCCAGTTGGGAAGATGTTTTTCTCCCCCCCCCCCCCACCACCCCCACACTTATGAGTCATAATGTTGATTGCTCTCACCCTCACAGAGTTGTCTCATTAACCCTTTGTGGCACCCTCCATCTTTTATGGCCTTCCACAAAACCGGAATGAAACGAGGGAGGAAAACAAGTCGTGGTCTGAAGGGCCTCAATAACCTTCGATCACAATTTAGCCCTAACCTGAATCATTTTGATGTCCTGGCAATAAAATATGCTGTTGCGCTCCTCTTTCTCCTGCTCCTCGGATGACAGTCAATTTACATTTTTTTAATTAAACGAGGCAGATTTTTTTTTTTATTGGGGGGCTGGGTTATGCTAATAAGAATGTTGTGTACAGCAGGTTAACAGAGTTTCGAAATAAATTTCACAGGCAGCCATTTAGATGTGGGGGGGAAAAAACGTGAGTCATTGTTTTAAACCTCTTCCATGACAATTTCTACTGAGGATCCCAAATATTCTGTGAGGAGCCTTGCTGAGTTCTGTCAAGCGAGGCTCCATGAACTGACTCAAATAAAGCAAAAAAAAAAAAAAAAACATCTTAAAAAAATGCTTCATTATTTTTCTGTTCCGTCCAAACAAAAACTTCAAATGAATTTGATTGTATGGGGCAATAACGTGCTCAAAAAAAGGATTGATTGATCATTTTTCTCTCCATGACCAACTGCAAAATGTGTATGTATATACATATTCATTAATTAACGCTGAATTTAATTAAATAGTGCGGGATTTTATATTTTCATTTTAGAATTTTTTGTTTGTTTATTTTAGACTCCTTTTCATGTTTACCCAATGTAAGGTTAAATAAAAGAGACACCGGGTGAAGATTACTGCAAAACACAGTAGTTAAATGCAGCTTTTATGTTTGTGGAGTTTTATGGTCCGCTCGCACCCCTTGATTGATGTTTTGCTTGTGTGTGTGTGTGTGTGTGTGTGTGTGTGTGTGTGTGTGCGTGTTGCTTGGTTTGTGCAGAGGGAGAGGAGCTGGAACATGGTCGGGAGACAAGGGGAGGGAACTGCATTTGTGCGTGTGTGTGTGTGTGTGTGTGTGTGTGCTCCGTGTGTGGTTTTTTGTGTGTGTGTGTGTGTGTGTGTGTGTGTGTGTGTGTGTGTGTGTGTGTGTGTGTGTGTGTTCGGAGTATGTGGAGAGAGAGGGACAGCAGAATCCCGATGAGCATGTGCCCAGTCATCAAGTGGCCTTTTTAAATTTTTGCAATCAAACAAGTGAGATCGAACAGTGGAATCAAGTCCAGATAAAGTGGGCTGTCCCGCATCTTACTGCAGTCGTCCAAGTGTTGGCGGCTACTTGATATTGGCCACGAGTAAGGCAAGTGGTATCAACACCCCCTTTCTTCACGGCTGTGCACTCATGCAATGGCCGGCACCTAATTAAAACCTCAAAGCTCCGCGTCACCAATATAGACTAATGGCCTCATTAATACTCTGCACAAAAATATAAAGGAGCGATGAACAGGTCGCACCTTTGGACTTTTTGGGGCTAAAATTTAAAACAAAAAAAAAAAAAAAAAAACCAAAAACTTTTTTTTTATGGTTGTTTTGATCTCATTGAGAAGATGTCATTTTATTGTGCATTTTATCCGGCACGACAAATTCTAAACTCAACTAAAATTCCACAAAAGAAAAAAAAAAAAAAAAAAAAAAAAAAGAAAAAGCTTGTATCCTTCTCCTAATCTTACATCACAAATTCAAATTTCACAGGGAGAAAGGGTAGAGAAATAATCTCAAGTCATTGATATGCCATATAAGAGGGCAAAATGGGAAATGAAGAGGTAATTAGCAGAGTGGCAGACTTTGGCGTGTTTGTCTGAAAGCGCGGTCTCCACCGGCCATGAATGAATTTGCATGCTTCGCTTATCGAGGCGCACTTATTAGTCGGGGCTGAAAGAGAGATTAAGCCGGCGCAAAATGTGGTGACTAATCCTTTTAAATGTGGCAGCGGGTCTTGAGGTGCAAACCGGGCGGCCCGGCCCGCGCGTACCTTTGCTGCGGCGGAATGTGACGGGTCGCGACGTCGACGCGAGGGAGACAGAGGATGCTCAGTTTGGCAAGGACGCTTTATTGGTGACCATCTCTCGACCCTCTTATCTCTGCAACCGAAGCGCCGTGTGGGGCCGGCCCCATGTCAGATTTTTTTTTTTTTTCCCTCTTTGAATTCTTTGTCGCATACGCACGACCGCATGTCTTTGCTTCTCGATGAAAATATAAGGAACAGAAAAGCCCCCCCCCCTCCCCACTTCTCTCCCTTGAGTGAGGAAATATTTGTTCTGCTGAGTTACAGAGCCAGTAGCCCTGTCCTCATCCGTAATTGACTGCAAACATGAACGTCTAAACACTGCCTGCACTCACCCTCCACTTCAGCTTCCACCTCCTGCTTTTGCTACACGGTGACATTAAGGTCAGCAATGATTCCTCCTCTCCCGTCCGTGCGTGTCATAGCTGAAGGCCAGCTGCTCATTTTTGTCTGTGCCGCCGCAAAGAGAGAAGGAGAAGGATAGCGAAAGGGACGGAGCGGCGCAGGAGTTTGCTGTATTTCTTTCCTTTTTTTTTTTTTTTTTTTTTTAAAGTTGGTAAGTTGATAGGATTACATGGTTCTGGAGCCTACACCTGTTAAGAGGCTGTTAGAAGAACAGTTGGCAGTCCCGTGGCTGCGCAGCTAAGCTTTTTTTTTTTTTCTCCCCCCCTCCCTATCTGTTGTCCGTTCTGTGCCGCCTTGTGGGGATTTTACCCGGCATGTCGTCGGGGAGTTCATTTGGCAGGGTTCCTGCCACAGTGGAAGCATGGGGGGGCGGGGGGGTGGGGGGTGCTCCTTTTGACATGTGAGTATGTGTTCAAGTGCATATCCTGCATCGGTTCGTGTGTTTGTGCGCGCGTGTGTGTGTGTGTGTGTGTGTGTGTGTGTGTGTGTGTGTGTGTGTGTGTGTGTGTGTGCGCGCATACGATCAGATCGCCCTCCCCACTCCCGAGACTCATTGTCTCCGTGCAGTCGCGCTTCCTTCTTTGACCTCAGTCACACGGCCCGAGCCACCCCAGCAAAGAACGTATCAGCAGCACAAGTTTTGGTTTGTTTTTCCTCACGGGTTGGGGACAGGTGTTGGCAGAGTCATAAAATGCCCAAATACTGGTTAAACCAGACCATTTAAATGATTAAGGGTTAGGTTGAGAACATTTGTGCATATTTTAGGAGTGCCAAAGACCTGTTGTCAATCAAAAATACTTTTGGAAGGAGTGGAGAAATGAGTAATGCATAAAATGTCTTGCTTGTTTTCTCTTGTTCACCTATTATTTAAGAGGAAAACAGTGGTGAATTGTTGTCGCAGGTCGGGAGAGCGAATGCGCAGGAGACCGTTTGGAAGTGGTGGTGACGGTTATCAGGAAAAAAAAAAATCACATTACAGT